ACCCAGTCCCATCTCTTTTCTAGTGCAACTGGAAGCTGATAGCTTCATTGTTTGACAGCACCACTTAACTTCACGTAACATTGATCTTTAATGCATGATCATTTCACATGGCTTCAGTTGTCCAAATGCAAAACTGTGCCATATATCCTTTTTGTTTTTTGAAACAGTCATTTTATTTGTGATATTAAAGTGTCGGATATGAATCGATGTTCATTTTGGGAACATTGTTCAATGTGAATTAAATAATAATTTCAACATCAGCTAATTCCGACATTCTGAGGGTAGTTTAATTGATTTTGGGTTAATGAAACAGGGATCGATAGGTGGCAGACCAGCTCACGACGGCGTAATTCCAAAAATGCTCACGTTGTGCCCAATCTCTCATGTGTACATCAGGAGAATAGGCCCATAAGAAACCACCAAAAACCAAACACAATGATACGGAGAAAAAGAAAGAGGCGTGATGCATTTGTATCTTCGTCCTTACTGGTGTAGTCGAATCCGTAGCTCACCCAGTTTTTGTCTTTTTCACTAGTATCACAAGTAAGTAGTTGTTGCTGTATCACTATTTTTTTTAGACGTAGAAATATTTCTAGATGTTCTGTTCATGTGGTTCCAGACGCATCTTTGTACTACGGGCATGTACCGGAATTTAATTATGGCAGCCATTGGTGATAATAAATATTATAAACTACTTTCTTTTCCGAAGTACTAAATTACCACCAAATTACGAAAATAATCAATTCTATTTTTCAGATAGATTACGAAACAAATTGATTCTGTTCTGTTGGTAGTTTTTGACAGTTTTAGAGTATTACCAACATGGCAAAGAATTTTACGCTTTTTTTCATCTTTTTGGGAATGGACAAATACTAAAGATAGAGAGGACAGAATACAAAATAAAGAATAAAATGTTCAATATTTTTTAATAAGATGATACAGCTTATTCTAAAGTTATAATACGCTGTTTAATAAGTTATAATCCTACAGACATTACGCGGTATTTCAAACTGCGTTCTCCACACTACAGAAGCCTACAATTTAGCTTTAGTACTCTGTGATGATTCCGGAAGAATATTAGTGGTTCTGTGGCCTCTGTGGTTCTTAATCGGCTTGCTTGACTGATATATATATTTTTAAATTTTGTCATATTTATTAATTATATATTTAATTTATAAGTGTATATAGTGAAATTAAGATATACATTGAATCTACATAAAAATAATAAAATGGTGGTCAGAATATAACGCAGAATTAAAGTATCTAGAGAAGATCAATCCCTATTGTTGGAGGATCAAGAAAGGTTTCCAACCTAACATGAATGTTGAAGGAGTATTTTATGTGAACAATACTCTTGAAAAACTCATGTTAGATGAATTAAAAAATTCTTGTAGGCCTGGTATGACGGGAGGTTTCTACCCGGCGTAAAACAGATCGCAAACGTAGCAGCATTGCCGGGAATAGTTGGCCGGTCTGTAGGCCTACCAGATGTTCATTCTGGATATGGTTTTGCTATAGGTATTTATTTAAATGCTTGTATTTGCTGTCTTATAATAAGCTATCGTAACTACTACTACTATACTATACTATTTGAAGAATCGAACCGAACAGGCAGTGTGCTAGTACATTAGATTACAGAGGTGTAAAATATTGATTTTTTTACCAACATTTTACAATGACAGCAACATTACAAAATTATTTACATGTGTAATGTAAATTATACATGTAAATAATTTAGTAAATCAATATTTGTTCATGTAAATTATTCAGACAAAGCGAGTATATATAATAATTTTTATAAAGAGAAGTTGAAATTGTATATGGTTTTCAGGAAATATGGCAGCTTTTGATATGTCAGATCCAAAATCAATTGTGTCTCCTGGTGGTGTAGGCTTTGATATCAACTGTGGTGTACGTCTTTTAAGGACAAACTTACATGAAAAAGATGTTCAGCCAATTAAGGTATAAAATCACATTTAAAATACCGATTACAAAGTTTATACAAATGATTGTAGTAATAATACCAATGCATGAATACTTATAACAAATCATATTCTTAATATATAATAACTATTTTAATAACCTTACAATGGTTAATCAAATCAAGGTAACTTTCAAGCTTTGTAAATGAGAGACATTTTTATCTTTACAGTAATATTATATACATATATATCATATTTCATGCTATTAGAAAGCTTTTTTGACTAATATGAGAATCCTCATATGGTTAGACAGGATTTCTAGTCTTCAAGGTATGAGAATATTTTCATTCTTATACATATTTTTATTATTTAGTGCCATTTAACATCATATTTTAAAGCAGAAAATTTTTGTATTTGAATTTGTGATTCAAGTCTTGATAAGAAACAGTAATACACTAAAATTATTCTCATAATTACTAATACAATTCTATTATTGTTAGAAAGGTGCCAGATACTTATTTAATTTCTATTTATTATATTCATTATAAAACTTTCAGGAACAATTAACTCAAAGCCTTTTTGATCATATTCCTGTGGGAGTAGGTTCAAAAGGAATTATTCCTATGAATGCCCGTGATATGGAAGAAGCTTTAGAAATGGGAATGGACTGGTCTCTGAGAGAAGGTTATGTATGGGCCGAAGATAAAGAACATTGTGAAGAATATGGACGTATGTTAAATGCTGATCCTTCTAAAGTTAGCCTTAGAGCTAAAAAGAGAGGACTGCCCCAACTTGGTACATTAGGTGCTGGTAACCACTATGCTGAAATACAAGTAGTTGATGAGATTTATGATAAATATGCAGCTGGTAAAATGGGTTTGGAAAGAGTTGGTCAAGTTTGTGTTATGATTCATTCAGGTAGTAGGGGATTTGGCCATCAAGTAGCAACTGATGCATTAGTACAAATGGAAAAAGCTATGAAGAGAGATAATATTGAGACAAATGACAGGCAGTTAGCTTGTGCAAGAATTAATTCTGTAGAAGGTCAAGACTATTTAAAATCAATGGCTGCTGCTGCTAACTTTGCTTGGGTGAATCGCAGTTCCATGACTTTCTTAACTCGACAAGCATTTGCCAAACAGTTTAAAATGGCTCCTGATGATTTAGATATGCATGTTATATATGATGTATCACATAATATTGCCAAAATGGAAGAACATGTTGTAGATGGCAAAGTGAAAACATTACTTGTTCATAGAAAGGTACCAGATTATTTATAATTGTTTATAACTAATACAAAAATTGATACAATAATGCTGATACTCTTTCTCATGTATTTGTCCTGCTAGTAAAATTACATGGTATTATGTCCTTAGAATTTATAACATGACACATTAGAGGAATCACAATGTATGTATTTTATCTTTGGTGCTGTTCATGTTTAGAGACAAGGGTTAACATAATTACTTTTTATTAGGGGAATTGTATCATTTACCATTCTTGTTTCATTAAAAGAAATTATTAGTCCCTACTAATAATTGAGCGAGGTGTGGTATAGAAACTGACCCAAGGATAGTTTAAAATTATTTTATATTCATAATTTAATAAAGTTCCTGGTGTAGGTCTATTAAATTGACTGCTGAAAGGAGGTTCTGAATTTAATTATATTTTTTCGATATCATCTAGCATGATAAACTCACTCATGACATACTCACCAAAACTGAAGTTTCATAATTAAGTAAGTTATTTTTGTGGACTTAACATGTTTTGTGGAATAAGTTATACTTGTGCTTGTTTAATTAATAATTTATGTTATGTATTCTTATTCCATTTTTAGGGATCAACAAGAGCATTCCCTCCTCACCACCCTCTTATACCAGTTGATTATCAATTAACTGGACAACCAGTTCTCATTGGTGGAACAATGGGAACTTGCAGCTATGTATTGACTGGCACCCATCAAGGAATGACCGAAACATTTGGATCTACATGCCATGGAGCTGTTAGTATATTATATATTTTAGTATATCAAAACCCTTATTTATATATGTAAATATTCAGGTGCAAGTGTATGTTTTTATTTGATCTGAACAGCATTGGCAACAATAGTTTTATGAACTTAGTTACTGTAATAATATTACTTTACTATTTGATAATTTAAACTGTTTCAATAAATATCTGAATTACATATTAGACAATATTAAGACTATTTTGTAAGCCAAATTAATGTCAAATAATGTTACAGACAATATCATCAATCATCAAAATATGACATAATATCACAACAAAATAAAACTTTATCAGATTTAAGAAAAGTCTATGCTATTGGCCCTGAAATATCTTTAATTAAATATTTATTTTTATTTCACAGGGGCGGGCATTATCTCGCGCCAAATCTAGACGAAATATAGATTACAAAGATGTCCTAGTAAAGTTAGAATCTATGGGTATTTCAATCCGCGTGGCGTCACCGAAATTAGTAATGGAAGAAGCACCAGAATCATACAAAAATGTTACAGACGTCGTGAATACATGTCACGCTGCTGGAATAAGTAAAAAGACTGTGAAATTACGGCCCATTGCTGTCATAAAGGGATAAAATTTAATTTATAATGGATATTTTTAAGTAATATTAACTGTCCCTATATTTAATATTCATTATTGATATTTATTATTCTCTTTCTCTGTTTTCAGTTAATAGTGTAATAATAAAACTAAGTCATTGTTTTACACAATTAAATTTGTTCAAATTTTGTAAGAGGTATAAGTCATAATTAATACATTTTATATATTAATAATACATAATGAAAATAGATTTTTTTATACTGCAGTGGTAGCAAGCAAGCATATGGCCCATCACTATATTGGTCAAATTTTCGTAAGTAATATTCTGTCTGCAGAAGTTAACAATAGCTGAATTATTTATTAAATAAGTCAACAGAGAAAATTCCATAAGAATTTTTGCATTTAGTTCCCTTGGTTTATTTGCATCATGGTATAGGTTGATGGCTATGGTGCTTTAAGGTCAAGGTAACTTCGTCTTCTAACAATATCGAAAAGGATTTGAAATAAAAATTTTAATGTAATATAATTTGTTATATATTTATCACAACAGATAACAACACTACAGAATAAATTATTAATTTACGTACAAACTAATTTTTGGAAATAATGTTACGATGACTATTGAGGTTGAGCCCATTGTGTACTACATAACTACACACTAAATCGCTTTTAATTTATCTGCTATGATCACTAGTAGTGCAGTTCCAAGAAAAAACAGACCTGGTGGAAGAACAGCATTTGTTCTATCTATTTCATCTGTAAACAAAAACTTTGTTTATTAGCAAAACTGTAATGGTGTCTTCATAAAAAAAAAACAGTTCATCAACAGTGGATGTTATATAGCACGACATACGATGAAAGATCATGAAACAGGCGGCAGAATAATGATCTAATATAATTTTCTACAAAGTTATAATAAAGATCAAAATCAATTACCAGCCTGAGTAGCACATTCCTCCTCGTTGTTATTTGTTGACCATCCCATGCAGCGATCTAAAGCCGATTCCCATCTGACGCGTCTAATCTCTCGGTCTGTAATATTTTTTTATTTTTTTAATATATTTAACGAAAAGAAAAAATCAATTATATTCTATCACAAAATTATTAATTTTGATTTATTCGAAATGTAAGTATTATCTTTTTATTTATTTAGTAATGTCACATAAGAAAAGTAAATAATGTAAAAATTAGAAAAATAAAGCTTTTTATCTATCTAACTAGGTACCTTCACTTGTTATAGATGGCAGGAAAATATCAGCAGGAGGACTAGGTATAGACGCGGGCCATACACGTAACGCCCGGCCTGCTACTATCGCCGCCCCTAATGCTGTGCTTTCCATCATTAAGGGGCGAATCTGAAAAAGACAATATATATAATTGATTACTAGTATTATAAAAGAAGTTTCTTTGTTACATCTCCATTATTTATACTATATATGCATATACATGTAGTGTTAAACACACAAAGACAGACACGTAATTAGTACATACTACAGGCACGGCAAGCACATCAGCTTGCATTTGCATAAGCACGGAGTTCTGCGCCATGCCGCCGTCTGCGAGCAGGCGGTGCAGCGGTGCGCAATCGGCCTCCATGGCGGCGGCCACGGAACGCGTTTGTTGGCACACGGCTTCAAGGGCCCCGCGAATTATATGACGCCGACTTGTTTTATTGGTCATCCCGCATATTATTCTGAAGCAAAAAAGATACAAAAGCTATGGATATAATAAAAATAACTGTACATTTTATTAAATATCTACCTGAAATATTTAAGGCATTAGGCATGATGACACTATCTAACAATATCCGAAAACAGGATTTCATGTAATTTTATATGATAGGCTGATTCATATTTAAACATTTATTTTCAGATTACATTTATTTTAGTAAAAATAAAAATGCTAAACATCAATCCACCATGATAGATCCAATACCAATCGGGGCGCGTGACGTCACTCATTCGTAAACAACATCGGTGTTGTCATAACATATTTTATGCTAGATTTGGCATAATTTTAGTTGTTTTGCTTTTTGGTGTTTGTTCAAGTCACCGTTTATAGGCTATGTGCAACAGCATCTTTTCACTTCCTTTTTTCTTATACAATAAGATGTGAAATAGAAATAGAATACAATAAAGGCATACTGTAATTTGAATTGAAATTTTAGTCTATAAAATTTTACCAGTGCTTGATAGTCGTTAATATGCCACCTAAATTATCTAAAGTCAGCATTACCGATTAGAGTGGGAGAAAATCTAGCATTTCCTCCCATATTTATTTTGTTCTATAACATAATTGAATAAAACATAAAATAAAATTTATTTTAAAGATATAATAAAAACGTGTACGTAAACAAATGATGTTTTATTTGAGGAATGTTAGTATTATTTTAAAACAATTAGCATAATTTTGGGAAAATTTTAATAACAGTTTAGCATTTTTTTTTATTGTCGTGATGGCAACGCTGTACATAGTTTATATAAATTTATTTCCAACACTGAGAAGAAATTATATATATTTTTTTAAGGTTTTGTATTATATGTTGGGCTAAAAAGGACTTGTATCCAGAGCCGTAAAATATTAAATAAAAACGTTCGAGCGACGTTCTCACAAAGTTGTTTTGCGTTATTTGTAAATTAAATAACTTCTGCGTTTTTATTATTGTATTAGTACATTGAGGGACCGCACACCATCGATACACATTGGGATTCATGATTATTGCGCTTAAATCTTCAAAAACTTTCAACAAACAAACGTATAACTCTACTATAAGTTATCACTTGTCAAGTGTTTACGAATGGTTGACGTCACAGACGACGCCATTGCTATTCTAGCGTTTTTGCGCGAAATTTAAATTGTACTTTTTAAAATGTAATTATCTATCAGTCTTAAGTTTTTTTTTAAAAATCAGTCATCATGCCTATTGTTTATTTAAAAAAAAAATGTAATACTCATAAATATAAATATTAACAGTACTAACACTACATATCCCTATATTATATTATAATAGCGTATGAAAATTTTTATTATAATATAATATAGGTATTGACGACCTCGGTGGTCTAGCAGTAGCAGGTACACCGCTTTGCGACCAATGGTCCACGGGTTCATCAAACATTTGTATTCATGAGTATGATTGTTTGTATCAGTCTGGTTGTTTTCTTTGTATAATATGTATGTATTTACAAAAAAAAATATCTATATATATGTATCAGTTATCTAATACCCATAACACAAGCTTTAGCTAGCTTAACTTGGGTCTAGATGGCGCTCTGTGAATTGTCCTGAGATTATTATGAAAAAAAAAATCTATGAATGTATTTACCCTCTGGCGTCTTTTCTCCAATATGGTGCATATAAACCGTTAAAAGCTGGTACTAAGCATATACTACCTTCTTCCTCATCATTTACTTCAGATGCTTCTACTTCAGAATCTTGTACATCATTTATTATTTCTAAGCCATTTTTTAGCCATTGTAAAGTATCACCTGTCAAAAAATGTTATGTTCAGATAATTTATCAAATGCTGTTGCACTGATAAATACTAAAATAATCTCTCTCAGATTATTCTAGTATTTATCTGTACATATGTGGACATACACTTTTTTACGTAATACCTACATTACAAACATTTCAACAGTTCACTTATATTTTCTGAACAAATACTGGCGAATTTGATTTGATTTTAAATTATATTTACCTGCAATTGCCACAGATCCTTCCAAAGCATACACTGGTGGTGCATCAGGGCCTAGTTTATAAGCCACTGTTGTGAGAAGACCATTTTGCGAATGTATTATGGAGTCACCTGTAAACATCACACTGATATTGATAAATAATTAAAAAAGATAAAATATTTAGTCGAATTTTATGATATAATTACCTTATTACCTGTATTGTATAGTAGGAAACAACCAGTTCCAAAGGTACATTTGACTTGACCAAATCTCATACAACCTTGTCCAACTAATGCAGCTTGTTGATCCCCCAAGCACTGTAATAATATTTAAATTCATTAATTTCATTACTTATATCTTTTAAATGTAAGTGATGAAAGTTTAACTTGAAAGAATTAGTAACTTCTTCACATAAAATTCTTGTAACTAACCCCAGCAATAGGAACTCCAAGAAGGGATCCTACTGAGATGTAACCATATATTTCTGCAGAACTTCTTATCCTTGGTAGTATTTGTTGTGGTATATCGAAGAAGTGCAGTAACCCTTTATCCCATTGCAAAGTTTTCAATGACATGAGCTGTGTCCGAGATGCATTGGTTACATCTGTAGCATGTATACCACCACGGTTGCCACCTGTGAGGTTCTGAAAAATAATGTAATATATAAATAAGATAATCTATATTAATATTATATAGTAGTAATACGACCTCGGTGGTCTAGCGGTCTAGCATACCGCTTTACAACCGGTGGTCGCGGGTTCGATTCCTCGCACGGCACAAACATTTGTATTCATGAGTATGATTGTTTGTATCGGTCTGGGTATTTTCTATGTATAATATGTATGTATTTACGAAAAAAAAAAAAATATCTATGTATTTGTATCAGTTGTCTAGGACCCATAACACAAGCTTTAGCTAGCTTAACTTGGGTCTAGATGACGCTGTGTGAATTGTCCTGAGATTATTATTATTATTATAATAGTATAATATATTATTGTATTGACAATAACAATTGTAGAATAATACCAAAATTCTATTTATCTTCATGCCAGGTTTCTAACAATTACCATAGTTATTGTGTAATAAGGATGTAGTTTCCAAGATTAAGAATATATTTGTAATATGAAAGTACCCATATTAGCCAGGAATCAACAGTGCCAGCCATGCATTCTCCTACAGCCACAGCATCTTTGATAGCAGTTACATTTTGAAGCAACCACCTTAATTTCACAGAGGTGAAATATGTTGACAATGGAAGACCACTGGATTGTGACACAGCATTCACACATTGTGGTCCCTTTCTTTTAACTAGTTCATCAACTATTTTTGATGTCCTTACATCTAACCACACTGAAATAATAATACACAATTTTTGTAAATTTTTAAATATGTTTTGTGTGAAGTCAGTATAAATTTAAATATGTTATTATTTATTTCATACATTGAATATTCTTACCTATAGCACTGTAAAGTGGTAAGCCTGTGACAGAATTCCATACAATAGTAGTCTCTCTCTGATTAGTAATTCCTATTCCTACTACATCTTCTGGGCTTATATCTAATTTTCTTAAGTTATCTGTTGTTACCTAAAATTAGAGATTTTAATAAGATAGCAGTTATATGTATATATACAATTTTTTATTAGATTAGATTATTAGACAACCTAATGGGAAACTAAAAAAATCTGAAGTAGTTATTAAAAAAATATATGAGGAATATTATTAATATATAAAAACATAAATAATTAAATATTAGCTTTACTTATTAACATCTCACAAATTAATAACTTGTAAATAAAAAAAATTGGTTAAAAGAATATATAAATACTTAATAGCTGGTATATATGCTTTTACATTACCTCTATACATTCCAATACTGCATTAAGAATCTCTAAAGCGTCTTGTTCAACCCATCCTTCCTGCGGACTAAAACGTTTCAGGGGTATTTGGTGATATGTTAACACTTCAGATGTATTAGCAGCAAAAACCTGGAATTTGAGTAAAATAAAACAAAGATGAAAAATATCCTTTTTCATATGTATTTACAAATTACAAGATTTAATAAATTTACCAAAAATTTGACATTCGAGGTTCCCTCATCAATAGCGCCTATTAATGGACCAAATTTACCGAACTGCTGCATAATCAATTATTCTACATATTGAAATAACTGATGCCTCTGAATAATGATTAACATAGTACGACTACAAACTTCAATTAGGAGGTAAGTTAAGGAGATTCAAATATGAAACTACTACATTGAAGTACAGTAAGATCAATATAACATTGCAATGTAATGCAAAAATTGAAAAAATGTCATGTGAATACAATCAATGTACAAGTGATTACTTTATAACTACGTTTTTAGAATTTTAGATGTCATATCATGTCAAAAATTCACGACCTTCAATACAGATTAAGGATGAGAAGAAACTAAATAGAGATGATATGACTGAGATAAGTACTTTAATAAAAAGTTTAAACGTAAGTCCTCGACTATAAAAAGCATACAAGCACGCTGTTGAAAAACCATAATATGTCGTTACGAAGTCTATAGTTTGTGCAATTTACATTATTTTTACTGAAAAACAAGTATAGTATAGGGCATTGACGGTTGCGGTGGTCTAACGGTTTTACACACTGCCTTAGATCCGATCATCGGGGGTTCGATTCCACGCACGATCCAACCATTCCATTCACGAGTATGACTGTTTGTATTGGACTGGGTGTTTTTTATACGCGAAAGTTTGTAATATGGATGAATAGAAGGATGGATAATAATAATAATAACTTTATTGTGCAAAAAAAAAAAACAAATACAAAAAGGACTTAACTAAGGTTATATGTCTATATTAATTCATATATATACAATAGTTCTTAAAACTATTTAATATCAAGTCCAGTGCAGTAGTGTCTAAACTAGGCCTAGCCTGTATCTCAGACACCATTGCCCACCTAAAGATAGCATGCTATACGATACTTTAGAGTTGAACGAAAAAACAAGACAAATGTAGGGTATACTTATAAATAAAATAAATCGTGTCGTTGAGGCAATGATTGCGTCACATCGTATGGTCTAACTATAATCGGTGCATAAATACTTGCAAGTGCGACCACTAAATGTAGGAACTTATCTTATATTATAATAAAACATGTCTGTTACAAAAAAAAACGGTTATACATATATTTATATGTTACATATACGCACAACCACATAATACATTAAGTGTAGTTTATATTCATTAAACATATCAATACATACAACAAATATACTTCGCATATAGATATATACATATATATACACACACTACATACAATATATAAACATATATATATATAAACACCTCTTTGGGCACTTTGTTGATCACGCCACAACCTAAACACTTGCTGATTCCACCTTTTGCACTGAATAACTTGACCTCTATCGCGTATATCTCAGGCGGTATGGCAACGTCGCATTCTATTTTGCGATGCGGCCATATATATTCGTCGATAGTACGATATACTCGACACTTTTTTTACTAATAATTCGTGACTGAATGGCTCCGAACGGCTAAATTTTTGGTATACACAAAGACTTTTTGGCTCTGAATATATTCCAAAAATCAATTAATTATGTTGATCACTTTATATACTCGTCCTTACTGCGATACTTACTTTCATCCGAATATATATAGATACCGTAACGGTCTATCAATTATGACTTTATTAATTTACTAATGTAGATATTTTATATTCGCAATGCTCCATACATGCAAGCTCCAGCAACGGTGGAGGCAGGGTCCCCCCTGCACCGTACACCGCACCCCGCGCACACAAACAAATTAGATATTTTTTGAATACACAAAGACTTTTTGGCTCTGTATATATATTTCAAAAATCAGTTAATTGTGTTGATCACTTTATATACTGGTCCTTACTGCGATACTTATTTTAATCCGAATATATATAGATACCGTAACGGTCTATCAATTATGAATTTACTAATCTAGATATTTTATATTCGCAATGCTCCATACATGCAAGCTCCAGCAACGGTGGAGGCAGGGGGGAGCACCGTACACCGCACCCCGCGCACATAAACAAATTAGAATAAATTAAATTCATAAGATTATTTATATATTTCGACTGCCTCGGTGGTCACACCGCTTTACATCCGATGGCCGCGGGTTCGATTTCTCGCACGATGCAAACATTTGTACTCATCGGTCATCGATTGTTTTCATCGGTCTGGGTGTTTTATATGTATATTATATATGTATTTACAAAATAAAAATATCTATTTATATCAGTTCAGTATCAGTCTGTGTTAATTGTCCAGGGTTATTTATTATATTTTTATAAACGGTTATCTTTTTCCATCGCACCGCTCGCTATCGACAGTGAATTCATAGAAATGTCACTCTAAAAACAAAAATAGTTTTGTGTTTTGTATTTCAAATACTAAATGCAAAATAGGTATTTTCAAAATACTTTTTAAAAATTAAGTACCTTTTGAATTTTTGTCCAAACCTCAGATATTTTATTTATTTTAGGTATATCAATCATTACATAGTAATATAAAAACAAAGTCGCTGTCGCATCTAACAGTACATAAACAAAGAAAGAAGACTTTGGCTCTGATACCGTAACGGCCTATGAATTATGAATTTATTATACCTAATCTAGATATTTTATATTCGCAATGCTACGTACATTGTAATATCCGCCTCCATTCATTGTAACGGTGGAGGGACTAAATAGTTGAATAAAACTGAATAAGCAGTTGCTCCACTCTATAGGTACTGCGTCGTCGTCGTATGCTGTTCATTTTTTCACTCGTTTTGGCGCCAAGAGAGGGTCACATAGTCGTGGTCAAGTTAAGAACTTATAATTTAATTTTGATAACAATAGATACAAGTAAAAAGTAGGTAGTAAAATATTTATTCTTTACTGTATGTACATTTGAAAAACTTAACACTTAAGGACTTGTACATATACACGTACATACTGCCATTTTCTCTTAAAGACATCCAGAGAAGCACTATTTATCAAATACGCGGGGTGCACCGACCTTTGACCTTATAACACCTGATTCGCGCGTAACGAATTACATTGCTACTTTTTGGTATTTTATAGTGGATATGTCACTATAAAATATTATTATTTCTTTAGATTATGACATAATAACATAGTTTACATGATTTTAAGGGAAACATACGATAAAAAAAATCCCGTAAAATGTAAAAGATAAAAAATGGTTATTGTTGGTTATCCTTAAGAGATAGACATATACCATCACGGACTTTTTTGTTGACCTTATTTTGATACATCTCAAAGCACTAGACAACACGCATTTTCATTAAACAGTATTGTATTTTTTTATTTCTTTAACTTTAATGCACAAAAAAATTTGTACATGTGGCGGACTTAATATTTTGCCGCGTTATTTACCAGGCAACCATGAGTGGTGCAGCGAAAGATTATTGGCGGTGCACTAATATAAATAAGAAATGTCAAAAAAAGATTTATAAAGATAATAAAGATAAGCAAAATATACATTTCTATAAAAAAATAACAATATACATACATAAATATATATCTAAATATAACCCATAAATGTATAAATATTATATATAAGTAAATACATAATGATCCGATAATCAAATTATAAGTACAGTCTCAAATTGAAAGTAAGAAAATCAGAAAATATAGAGAGAACTATATGGATATATCAGAAAGATGTGAAAAAAGGAGAAGGACAGTAAAAAAGTTACAAATTTAAATAATGTTCCCGCAATTTCTGTTTAAATGAATTTATTACATTATTATATATATTAGGCATACGACTAGCCTTATGACTGTTACTTTTTTTTTAATCTATACATCTATACATGTAAATAAAATTGGAGTGTCTGTTTGTAATATTGAAATAACCGTTTTTTACTACTTGCATTTAAATATAAATACGGTACATACACCAAAATAACATATTTTACAAGTTTTGTCTGTCTGTCTGTCTGTTTGTTCCGGCTAATCTCTGAAATAGCTGGACCGATTTTGACGGGACTTTTTTTGGCAAGTAGCTGATGTAATAAGGAGTAACTTACGCTACTGTTATTTTAGAAAAATAAAATAAAATTTCACGCGGACGAAGTCGCTGGGGCCAGTTAGTCTATAGATATACGGAGATTTAATGTTTAAGTTGCTATTATGTTGTTGACAAAATTTTACTGTAATGTTACTATTACGTTATCCTACACAATTTGTATTATTTTGGATGAATAAATAAATAAATAAATAATAATCTATACATCTATACATTTAATAAAAATTGGAGTGTCTGTTTGTAATATAGAAAAAACCGTTTTTTACTACATGCATATGAATATAAATACGGTACATACACCAAAATAAAATATTTTACAATTTTTGTCTGTCTGTCTGTTTGTTCCGGCTAATCTCTGAAATGGCTGGACCGATTTTGACGGGACTTTTTTTGGCAGGTAGCTGATGTAATAAGGAGTAACTTAGGCTACTTTTATTTTAGAAAAATAAAGTTAAAAACCACGTGGACGAAGTCGCGGGAACAGCTAGTGTATAATATATTAGAGATACCTACGTGTTTTTTTATTGATGACTAGCTGTACACGGGATTTCGTCCGTGTTGAATTTAACTTTATTTTTCTAAAATATAAGAAGTTAAATTCCACGCGGACGAAGTCGAGTGTACAGCTAGTTGTCGGTAGTCTAGCGATTTAGCTAGCACACTGCTTTGATTCCTGCTTGGTGGTCGAGGGTTCGATTCCTCGCACGCTGCAAACATTTGTATTCATGAGTATGATTGTTTGTAACGGTCTGGGTGTTTTCTATGTATAGATAATATATATGTATTTACGAAAAAAAAAATCTTTGTATTTATATCAGTACCCATAACATAATCTTCAGCTAGCTTAACTTGGGTCTAGATGAAGCTGTGTGAATTGTCCTGAGATTACTATTATTACTATAATAAATCTTTTCAAATCAGCCGATGTTTATTTTTGCCATAATACGTGCTGTTACCATGTGATAATATTACGTACGTACTTATTAAACTATTAACTTATTATTAAATTGTTTGTAACGGTCTGGGTGTTTTCTATGTATAGATAATATATATGTATTTACGAAAAAAATCTTTGTATTTATATCAATACCCATAACATAATCTT